GCCAAAAGTGGCGCTACGGGGCTACCCATGGCGACACCATCAATTTGAAGGTAATGTTTGCCGCGATATAGGAGATAGCTGCCATCTAAACAGTTTCGTAATAGAACCATGTACCCTTCCGGTATATCGTTTTGTCTAAGTTTCATCCTAACAACCTCTAGACAGTCCTTAACTGGAACTTTGGTGAACAGCGACTCAACATCAAAACTCACCATTACGTCATCCGGATCCAGTTTTGTATCATCGAGGATCTGTACAAAATGACGGGAGTCCTTCACAAAGGATGTTGTAGTGCCCACAAGGGGTTGCAGTACGGAAGCAACGTGTTTTGCCAAATAATAAGTAGGTGAGTCAATCTGACTCACAATCGGTCTCAGTGGAACGCTGGCCTTATGCACTTTCGGCAATCCGTATAATTTTGGTGGTTGTACTATCTTCGGTTTGTATAGGTTCTCAAAGATGTCCTCGGTGAAAAGGTGTTTATAATCCCTGATAACAGCACGTATTCTCCTTGTAACTCTCGCAGTTGGATCGTACGATACCGGCTTATATATGTTATCATCTTGCAACAGAGCAAGTATTTTGGAGTCGTAATCGCTAGTATTTATCACGACGGTAGCGTTGCCTTTGTCGTTAGGATGAAACTTAGACAAAACGATATACCGGAAGGGTACATGGTTCTATTACGAAACTGTTTAGATGGCAGCTATCTCCTATATCGCGGCAAACATTACCTTCAAATTGATGGTGTCGCCATGGGTAGCCCCGTAGCGCCACTTTTGGCCAATATATGGATGGAACATGTCGAGTCATTGATAGATTACCAGTCACATGGGATCCGTATGTGGAAACGGTATGTAGACGATGTGTTCTGTATCCTGAAGGGCGACAAACAGGAGATTGAGCAGTTCCTTACACACGTCAATAATATCCATCCGAATCTCAAGTTCACCTATGAGTTAGAGAGTGACAAAACCTTACCCTTTCTGGACGTTAAAGTCATGGCGCAAGCTGATGGGTCCCTGAAACACACTGTCTACAGGAAACCAACACACACAGACAAGTACCTCCACGCTTCATCTCATCATCATCCTCAACACCTACGTTCTGTGGAGACAACTCTTATTAACAGGGCTAACGCATTATGTAATACTGACTTCTTAGCAGATGAGTTGTCCCATGTACAGGACGTGCTAAGGAAAAATGGATACAGCGCAAGGAGGTCATACCCTATCCGAAGGTGTAAGGAAAGACTACCTAAGGTTCCCAGGCAACGGGCATTTTTAGGCTATGTTAAGGGGGTAACGGACAAAATTGGTTCCATTTTGAGGAAAAATTTTTCTATAGACACCATTTTTACTCCTTTATCAAAAATGTCACACCAATTGCGATCACCAAAGGATAGTATTCCTTACCAAAAACCTGGCGTTTATAAAATTGACTGCAGCTGCGGTAGTTCATATATCGGACAAACGAAGCGGACTATCGCCGAACGTGTAAGAGAACACATAGCAGCGGTCAAAAATCGTCAAGTGGAGAAGTCCGCGATTGCAGAGCACTTATTATCATCTGGATCAAACCACTGGATCGAGTTACATACACCTCATGTCCTTTCCACTGAACGACATTACTATCCAAGGATTGTTCGTGAAGCGGTTGAAATCAAAAAACACGACAATTTCAACCGGGAAAGTGGATATAAACTCTCACCAACGTGGAATCCGGTTATAAAAATGTATAAGTGTCGCGATCGCAAACAACCACGAACAATATTCTCGGATACCGTAAGTGCAGTGTGTCGCCACCTTTACGTATAATAAAATCAAGTGGAGGGTACATCTGAAAATCAGTTAAAAACATTATTACCGGATTACCCTCAACTAAAATCAGAAGACGACACCCGCCAGTTCTCCAGTCTCCTCGTGACCACGGCTGCTGTAACGTAGCCGAAACGTCGAGGTAAATAATTGTTTTAAAAAAAATGCACGAACAAGACCCGATTGCATATAATTATAATATAAATATACATTCTTAAATACAATACAATACAATACAATACAAAACTCTTTATTGTTCACATAACACAATGAATTACAAAATATTATAGTAAATTAACAATATTATGTAACAATTGGCGGCCTTATCGCTTAAAGCGATTTCTTCCAGGCAACCAGTGGATGGAGAGAGATAACATGAATAATGAAAATGGGGGTGTGAATGTTAACAATACATCATTGAGGCACACTAATGATATATTTAAAGTATATAAGAAATTATAAAAAAAAATCGTGCTAAATACACATACAAATGTACGATAAATAAATACGATGCAAAAATATATTCATTTATAACATATACATACATATATATATATATATATATACACACATATATAAATATATACATACACCTATTAATAACAAAACAGGAAAAAGCGATAATAAGGCAGCAGTGAGTTATATTATTGTGTGAGGTAGTATTCTTTAACATATTTTTTAAATATTTGTAAGGATTGTGCTCGCCTGATTGAAAGAGGAAGAGAATTCCATAGACGAACAGCTTGTACGGTAAAAGAAGAATCGTAAAATGAAGTGTGATGAGATGGAATCGCAAGACTCAAGTTCTCCGATGATCGCAAAGAATAGGAATTTGAGCAATGAAGAAAACTGAAACGATCTTTTAGATAACAAGGGTAACTAGGATTGAACAATATGCTATAGAGAAGGGATAATATATGAGAATTCCGGCGAAGACGTATAGGAAGCCACTTGAGTTCAGAACGAAAATGAGAAACATGGTCATATTTGCGCAAACCAAATATGAAACGGATACAAAAGTTTTGTAAACGCTCAAGTTTATTAAGCTGGTCCTCCGAAAGATCAAGATAGCAGGCGTCGGCGTAATCGAGGATAGGAAGCAGCAAAGATTGCGCTAGCGCAGCTTTAGTGGCAGTGGGTAAGAAGTTTCGTAGTCTTTTCAATGAAGCGGCTGATGCATATAATTTGCGGCTGACAGCTTGCAGTTGTGCATCCCAATTCAAATGACTGTCCATAACTATCCCAAGGTTCCTTACCGTTCGACTAAAAGGAATATCAATGCCATCAAAAATCACTTTCGGTAGTGCATGTAGATCAATTTTAGAAATCATTCTGGAGCTACCTCTAATCATGACTTGAGTTTTAGCAGGATTAACACCCAGACCAAAATCTTTACTCCATTCCGCAATGCGTTGAAGTGATCTGAGGAATTTCCAAACTTTCGCTGGATCATCGTTTTCAACAGATTTATGGCTATGGCGACGTAATGCGTCCCTACACACCACATTGCAGCGATTTCAAATTTTTATGTAAGTCTCTTTGTTATGGGCACTTGGACGTAATTTATATCTTACTCTAGCAACTACTTTTTTATGCATCAATAATTTTATGTCTTCAGTAAGCCATGGCGCAGGCAAGTGTTTTAGTTTGATAGGCCAAAAAGGGGCATGCTTGTTATACAGTTGATTAATTTCTAAGTTGAAAGCTTCTACCTGTTCATCCACGGTCTAAGCATCTAGCACAGGTGACCAATTGATACGACGAGCGTCCTCAAGAAACTGCTCACGATTCATACCACTAAAGTTGCGCTGAAATATGACTTTAGGTTTGATTTTAGGAGGACGAATTTTATAGGACACATAAATAAGGTCATGATAGGAAAAAGCATCAGCTGAATATTGACCATACTTTGCAACATGCTGTAGAGATGACACTATAGGCAAGTCAAGAAGAGACGGCGTGGAGTTAGGAAAATGATGAGTTGCATCAAGTGGAAGTATGTGCATGTTGCATGAGTTAACAACTCTTTGAAGAGAAGAAGTGCGATGGTCGTTTTTGCAGGTATTAAAATCTCCCATAATGATTGAGTGGCTAAAAGACGGAACAAAGTCATCCAGTAATTTTTCGAAGGAATCGAAGTAGTTAACACGTAAAGATGGGCTGTAATATACTCCGAGAAGAACCTTGGTGTGCGAAAGAGTAACTTCTACTAGCAAATACTCGCCTGCATTGGGTGATGGAGGTTGCGATGAGGAGCTAATTATAGAAAAAGGAATGTTGGATCTTAAATAAATAGCTACCCCACCACCAACAGAACCAATGCGGTCATTTCGTATAAGACGAAATCCAGGTACAGCATATGAAGAAGATGATAAACATGGCTTCAACCAAGTCTCGGAGATTAGCACAGCACGGATATTTTTATGAGTAAACGACGCCTGCATGTCAGAGTAATGAGCCGGAATAATTTGCGCGTTAATGTGAATAGCATTGAAATTTTTGGGAACATCAGAAAACCGAGCTTGGAGAGTATCAGAGAGAGAGAGCAAACTAGAAAAACTGTTATTGCTGCTGTTATCCACAGACGACAATGATAAATATAGTTCATCGTTACTGCTGGATGAATTAAACATAATATTCTTATAGAATGTAAAAAAAAAATAAGTATATAATTCAAATTTAAATTTAAATAAATAGGCAACAAAAAAAAAATAATTATAATAACTAGCCACTGGCTACACCTGCCGGTTTGCAGTGTCCAGGTAAAACCAAAATTAAATGTACAACATTACATGATTAAACAAAAGTTGGTAATGATTATTTGGCCAAAAATACCATCAGAACTATTATTTCACCAAATAATAATAATCTAATTTACAATATGGAACAAGCTACAAGGTAAATTAATAAAAAAAAAAAAAAAAATAAACAAAACAAAAAATAATAATTGGCTGTATGAGCCAGATGTTAATGCGTATACTTAAAACAAGCTAGTTGTCACTTCAACTTGTCACTTGTTATTGTTGTACCTAGTTTGTGAATAAAAAAATATTTAATAAAGTCTAGGAAACAAACAGTGGGTGAAATAAAAATTAATAATTAGTTTCTACACGAAATGATCAACATAGCAAAGTTAAGCGAAGCCAAACAATCAATTGCAACCAAACCGCAAAAAGCACAAATTCACTTTTTATTTACGATGCCAGCACGCCTACTCTTCATGGATATTACCGGCTTAGATGGAAGTGTGATCGTGGGTTGTCTGGGAGTTTCCTTAGCTGAGTCCAAAGATACAATGATCTTATTTAACTCATCCATAGTGTTGATGCGCATACGCTTCCCATCAGCACCGATCACAATTACGACCCCTTGCTGTGTGAAACATTTATTCATGCCAAAAGCATCACGAGCCGCCATAAATACATCATGCCGCGTCTTTGTGAGGAACTCTGATATAGTTATTCCAGACTTCTTAAGTGCCATCTTCGCAAACCAGATTTTGTCCCGCATGGCGACGTCGCGAAGTTTTAAGAGTATAGGCCTAGGCCTACCATCACCAGATGCACGCCCCATGCGATGACACTTGCTTATACAGTCGACTGAAAAATCAACAACTTTCAACCGCTCCACAATGGTACCTGTAATCACAGCTGAAGTATCCTCATTCTTCAGCTCTGGCAAGCCATGGCACAGCAGCATCTTTCGCCGGCTCCGCATTTCTATGTTGTCTACTTGACGTGCAAGGAGACCAACTTGTTGCTGTAGTGTTAGAAGTGCAGTCAGGATAAATGACCGAAAAGCAGCAAAATCACTTTTTAAACTGTTGATGTTGGGGGATGGGGATGCAGCTTGAAGCTCATTTTGATATTCCTCCATTTTGTCAGTAAACAGCTGGTGGAGTTTGGCTATAGATTCCTGCATTGCCTCCATCTTATAAGTGTAGTGAAGTGATGATGGTGATTAACTATTGTTGTGCAAGAGATTTCTTAAGGATAACACTCACCGGCAGGTATTGAGTATCACTTGTCAATATTTCATTAGAATTATAATAATGAAATGCATAAAAAATTATTAATTAATTTATTAAAGTTTAAGGTGTACCAAATGATGTTTACTTTATAACACCTACCCGCCTACCTCCTACCTGTTGTATTTAAAATGTAATCCATTTTCATGCAACAGAAGACCTATTATTAAATTTGTTTTTCCACAGTTTGATGGACCGCAAACTAAACACCGAACTGAATTAGGAAGCAAGTTTCCATGTCGAGAAATAACTGTCTCAGCATCTGAACAAATTCTATCCAATTGCAACGTTTCAGATTGTTTTATAAATTTCATAGTAGTAAGCAATTCTTTCGGGTGTCCTAGATAAAGTGAGTCAATTTGTACAAATTTGACTATTTATATAAAGTGCGAATAATCAGAAACATTTTATGGATTTTCGTCAAAAAACTGTCATCAAATGAATGTAATATCTATTTATAATACTGGGCAAAACGCCGACACGAACGAGTGGGGGATAGAATGCCCAATATTACCCTACTATATATTTTAGGTTTATTATACTATGTCGGGTATTTTATAACTATTTTGCTAAGATATTAATTTGTTTATTAAAAGAGAGTAAATGAATAATTTTTAACGTTAAATTATGTTTTACTTGAACACCTGCTAACTAGAAAAATAATTAACATTGATATACTTATTTAGAATCACCACGAAAGAGAGAAATGATATGTATTTTATGAAAGTTGGTCCTGTTATCATATTTTTAACCAACTCCAAAAAAAAGGAGGTTCTCAATTTAACTGTACTTTTTTTCTTGTTTATTACCTCATAACTTTTGACTGGTGGACCGATATTGATGATAATTATTTGAAAGCTAGTGTTTGCCGTGTAGTCCAGATCTGGCAATGGCATCTATGAGAAAACCGTATAAGTCTTAAATTTGCATTACGTATGCGTGATGTGAATGCATGAAATAAAAACTTTAAAAAATGGAACCGACTTCAAGCGGGCTGAGGTTTTCTGTAGTTAATTAAATATTAACCGCCCGACTTGAATGTTTCTATAAAAATTAACAGTTTTTAAGATAAGTGTTATTTTTCACTTTTTTAAATTTGATGTCGGTTCATTTTTTTTTTAAGTTTTTAGTTTCTTTTTTGTCATAACATCCTTGCTCAATTAAAGTTGTTATATTTAAAAAATATATATTTGCCAATTATAATTTATAACAAATCAATCAAATGAAATTAATAACTTTCGGTTTTAAATATTAGATCATTATTTATTAAACTAATGTTATAAATGTGAAAGTTTGTTTGTTTGTCCGTCGATCACGCTGAAACTACAGAACAGATTTTGATGAAATTTGGTATACAGGTAGGGTATTAGCTGACTTAGATAATAGCATACTTTTATCCTACTAAATAGTTCCATAGGGACCACGCGGGCGAAGCCGCTAGCGGAAAGCTAGTCTTAAATAAAATATACTTCTATCTATTTCTATTATATCACAATTAAATTGACTCATGTTTTATAAAATTGACTTGGAAACTTAACAAATTGTTTCTTACAGATATACTTTTACTCTAAATTTCGAGAATTTGATCATGAAATAAATTTATTTAATTTATTATACGCATATACCTATTCATTTTGTAATTAAAATATCTAGAGTAATAAATAATATTGCATTACCTATATTATATCAATTATTAAAAATCAAAAAGCAGATTAATCTTATTTCAGGAAGAATGGCATTTCTACTTGAATGGCATTAATACAGCTATGATTGTGTGAATTTAAAATATTTAGGTTAGTTGTAGTAAAGATAGTAGTTAAACTGGAACGAAAACGAAAGAAACTTAACAAATAGTTTCTTACAGAACTATCCGACAAAATACTTAAAGATACAAAATATTAGATATTAAGTAATTGCATTGTTGTCAAGCCGTTACAAATATACTTGTAGCGGCTTGGCAACAATGCAATAATGCAGAAACAGAATGAAGAAAATTGAACTTTATAACTGTAGCTCAAGAACTTGTATTGTTTGTACGATGGTAAAAGTGGTAGATTAACTTACACATAATGTCATTTTTTACTTACGAATGAGACACAACTAATATTGCAGTATATTATAAAAATCAATAATCTGTAATTTTATTGTAGAGAAGCTACAACTTTCATTATTATAATTGTAAATTAAAAATTGTGTTTTATATATATTCAGACGCTTAAGATTTTTCTTGTTTGTTTGGTTGAACGCGCTTATCACAGGAAAGCATCCATTGTCTAAATCCTAAACAAATATAAAACTAAGTTAAATTATATGCACTATTCTTTCATCACATCCAACTATCGTTGCCCATTCATAAATGCCAAATAAAAAAAGTCAAACTCCGCCCCGTACAAACTATACAAAGTGAGCGCACGGGAAACACGACCTTAAGGTGGATAGGCACGCTTGACCACGATTGTACCTAATGCGAACTTTTTATTTTTTTTTCTCTTTAAATATTCGTGTGAAGGCTGTTGCGTGGAGACATAGCTACAATATGTAATATAGAATAAATCGCGTCGAATGAAGCTGCTCATATAATTGAGATCAAACTTCACGTACAGGTAAGTTCTTCACGTACAAGAAGCGGCTCCTCCTGCCCCCTCGCACACCCACCTTTCCCCGATCCGGCGAGAGGGCAAAGCGATACCGACAACGAGGCCGGTCCAGTCTGTGCACATGGTATGTGCTCTCCGCCCGGACGCGCCCCCGCCCGCACGCATGCAAGCATACATGCAGACGCGGACACGCCCGGGATAGAGTACGCAGACTAGACCGAACGAAAAACCCAGGGTTGGGAAGTCAAACCTCAGGACGGGGGTGGGCGCGCATAGCGATGCCTTCTACCCCCGCCCTGCGACTGCGGCGAGAGCCGGCGAGGGCTGCCAGCTCGCGGGCTCTCTCCGCGTCCTCCTTCTGCGACATCACGGTTTCGCAAAAGGAGGACACCGCCTCCCAGGACCTGCGGCTGCCCAACATAGACAGAACTACGTTGGGGAGAGACAGAACAGGCTGGATGGCGGCAAGAGTGCGGACGCCGGCGGCTGGGAGCTCGAGGCTCAGGGCCCAGGCCTCCAAGAGCTCCTCTTCATGCTGCCTTCTCAACGCCACCATCTCCACAGGGGCCAGGCGGTCACCCCTCGCCAGAGTCTCCATGCGAGCCTTGTATACCTCCGCGAGCAGCTTGGCTTCAAGCTCCCACGGAGGCATACCTGCAAGCGCACATGCTGCGCTCCCGGAGACGGTGCGGTAGGCACGGATCATTCGGATAGCGACTATCCTTTGAGGCCTTCTTAGTAGCGGCCTGTTCTGGGTACTCAGGGAGTCCGCCCAAACCGGGGCCCCGTACAGGGCCATACTTCGTACGACCCCGGCAAACAGGCGACGACAGACTATATTTGGGCCACCCAGGTTAGGCAACAGTCCACCCAGAGCGGTCGTGGTCCTCACAAGTTTTGGGGCCATCTGGTTGAAGTGGTGGAAGAAGTTCCACCGACTATCAAGCCAGAGGCCCAGGTACTTGAAGTGGGGGGCGATGTGAATCCCTACGCAATCGACGGTCAGATGAGCATCTGACGGCAGCCTGTACCTTGGGCCGTGGAATAGGACGGCCTCCGTTTTATCCACGGCCACTTGGAGTCCAATCCTGCGGATACGGCTAATAGTGAGCTCCGTTCCCACTTCCGCAAGGCGTTTGACATCTAGGTACGTCTTTCCTCTGGCCGTGACCAGGGTGTCATCTGCATAGCAGACGACGTTCATTCTAGGTAGAACTGCCCCGCGGAGTACCCAGTTGTACCCTAAGTTCCACAGGAGGGGTCCGAGGACCGACCCCTGTGGAACATCACGCTTCATACGGCGAGAAGTAATAAACCCGGAGCCCCCGACATAGGCCACTTCTCTGTCACGAAGATAGTCGAGAATCACACGACGCAGGTAGACAGGGACCTCATGAAAAATGAGAGCACCCTTATACACTGGAAGGGGAGAGAATTGAATGCGTTCCTAATGTCCAGAGACACAGCAATCAACAACTTTCCCCTCTCGGACCCACCCTACACTCTTTCTTTAGCGTCAGAATCGCATCGACAGTCGACCTTTGACGCCGGAAGCCGAACTGCCGATTCGATAAGTCCGGACCGAATGCTCCCAAATGCTGGACGATACGGTCTGCAACTATTCTCTCGAACAGCTTGCAGACCTCGTCCAGCAGAACAATTGGGCGATAGCCGGATGGGGAGTCTGCCGCCTTGCTCTCCTTCCTCAGCAGCACCAGCCTGCCTCACTTCCAACGCCTAGGGAACCTTCCCTCAACCAGACAGCTGTCTAGGAGGGAGCGGATGTGGGTTCCCAGGTGTTTCAGAGAGATACGCAGAACTTTCCCTGGTACTCCATCTGGACCTGGGGCTTTGTTTTTCAGGCGCAGGCACTCAATAGCGCTTTCCAGTTCCCCGTCCGTGACCGGGGAGGATCCGCATTTCGTTCCTCCTGGGGCCTCAAGGGGACAAGAGGGAGTGGGGCAGGAGGATTATCCGGAAATAAGGCCGAGACCACACTGTTAAGGAGGGTTGGGTCCATCTGGTCCGTGGGGGGTGGGTGCTGCCTCATCCTATTGCGGATGAGTTTGTAAGGACGCCCCCATGGATCCCTGTCAAGGTCACCTAGAAATTCCTCCCAGGCTTGCGTCTTGGCCCTACATATGGACTCTCTGATGGATTTCTTAGACTCCACATATTCCCTCTTGAGCCTGATTTCCGTCTCAGTGTCTCACCTACTCCTGCGACGGCTGCGTAACAGAGTCCTCCTCTTTCGCATGCAGTCCCGTCTCATTGCCTCAAGCTCAGACGACCACCAGTATACATTAGTACGCTGTTTGGGTCCAGTTGAGCGAGGCATGGACGCATCGCAGATCGCCTGCAGTGATGTGCAAACCATATCAGCCCTATAATCGATGTCGGTCGCATCCTCCTGAGCATCCAGGGCCCAAGCCTGGACAATGGAAGCCTCTTCCACTAGAGCTGCGTCCATTTTTGCGAGAGCCTATCGGGGAAACTGTGGGCGCTCCTCGCCTCTTGCCGCCCGCGGACTGTCTGCCGGAGGGGAGATCACAAATCGGATGTACCTATGATCCGATAAGGACCCCTCCTCCGTAAGGACTCTCCAGCCGTTTATCCTGCCAGCCAGTGCAGGGGTCGCGAAAGTGAGGTCAACAATAGATCCTACCGTTGTCCCATGGTACCTCCTCACGCAGGTGAATTCGCGACCCCTGTTCAAGATTTGAAGGAGGACCTTCGAGCGAGTTCCTGGGGGAACCCCAAGCCGAATGCTTGGCGTTGAAATCCCCCAGGATCAACATGTGGTGAGATGCCAGACGACCGACAGCAGCGCTAACTCGGCTTGCCCATTCCTCGTATTCCGAGAAAAGACGAGTAGGCGAAAAATAAACAGCAACGACAGTGACCCCACCCCATATAATTGCAACATATCCCGAGCCCCTTTCCCTAAGCACTAAGCACGAATCACTATCACGACCGATCCATCAATATCCGAAACCCAATTATCCGAATGTGGGACATAATAGGGTTCGGCAAATACCAAAAGGTCCGTCCTATTCCTGGCGGCGCTTTGTAGGATCAGATCCTGGGCAGCTGCACAATGGTTTACGTTCCCTTGGAAGCAGTTCACGGAGAAATTATCCATTAATGGGATTTTGAACTACTTCCATGGCTGTTTCCAGCCTTGACGGCGGTTTGCTGAGTTTGTTCCCAGAGATAGGCTTAGGGCGGACTCTGGGAGCGGAACAGCTCTTGCTCCTCATAGGGTGCCTGCTGTTGTGACCCGCCTCTTCGCAGATTATGCATTTAGGGGTTCTCCGAGCAAGATGTTGCCTTGTGTCCAGGAGAGCTGCAACGGAAGCAGAGAGAACTTCTGTCGTCATTAATTGGGCACATCTTCCTTGTGTGTCCGGTGCGCAGACACCTATAACACCTCATGGGGAGAGGGTCCAGGATGGGCACACGGACACTACTCCATCCAACTAGGAGTCTGCCCGCCGATGAAATTATTTTGGCAGCTGTAATCGGGCAGTGGACCACGGATGTAAAAAGGCCCCCAGCACCCAATCTTAGCGGTCCTACTCTGACCTGTTCTGCCAGACAACTGCCAGCTTTAGCGACCGCTTTTGCGATGTCCTCCTCCGAGATTGAGTCATCCAGGTCGGTGATGCGCATGTCGATGCATTTCACCGGCCTAGATACCTTGGTCAATCCAACCAGAACTTCAGAAAGCTGGGTCCTGAAGAGTTCCACTTTCTCATCTCCCACTGACTTGGGGAACTCGTATTTCCGGGCCCCAGTGGCAGTCCTCTTTAACTTCAGCCCCGATGGGTCTATACCAAGACTGGGGAGTTCCATATCGGTTCTTGCCTTCGTGAGAACTTGGGCGTAGGTTACCCCCGCTTTCTCATTGTCCTCCCCAACGTCAATTACTATTGCCGTTGTATTAGGCACTCTGGGACCGCGCTTTCTCTTCCTCTTAGGGGGAGACTTAGAGGGAGGGGCTGGAGGGGGATTGACAGGTGTTGTCGTCTTCTTCTTCCCACCTCTTATGATAACGGTGACCCAGGTTTCTTGAGCATCTCGTGCCTGCACAGGATGGGTCACAACCGCCTTGTTGGGATGAGAGGTCGGCTGTGGCGTCTTATCTTTCCCGCCTTTATTTGAGGAAGAAGGTTGGGGGGGAACCGCCTGTTGAACTGATTTGTTCTTTTTGTTCATCTTCCCCTTTTTCCCCGTGATCTTACCCGATTGGGGAGCCTTGTTCGGCCCGCTGGACGTCGCAGCCGGAGATGGCTCGGCGGTGTTTCCCTCGAGAGAGGATTTCATAGCCTGCCGAATAGCCACCCTAAGCGGACTGTCAGTCGATAGAGGAGGGCGTAGTGGATTCAGTACCAGAAACTGTTCCTCCACTCTTCTAAGCCTCTCCTCCATTATGGCTCTGGTCTCGTTTAAAATCGAGCGGAGCAACTCCCCATTGCGAGCGTCTTCAATGTGTTCAGGCCTGGGTACCTCCTGTGGTATTACTGGGGACACCTCATGAACCACAACGGGAGCTCTCCTTTGCCTCCTTCTGGAGATGCCCTCTTTACTCAGTAGGACATCCCTTTCGACGCGCTCCTTTTTAAGACTGGCGATCTCTTCTCACACCTGCTCGAGCTGGGTACCAAGTCTCGCATTCTCAGCCCTGAGTTTACGGACTTCTTCGGTCACCGACAGAGTTAGGGTCTTCGAAAGGAGGTCTCTCAAATCGCGGGCAGCCCTGTTAAACTCACCCCTAACACCGCCCTTGAGGTTTTTTGATTTTCCAACCTGCTGTGCCATCGTATTAATCAGACCAATCGCTGCCCTGTTGATCCTGCCCTGCCCTGATATTTGTGAGAGGGACTTCTCGCCGGAGACAGCAGGGGTTGGGCCCATGTCCTCCCCGTCCCATTCGGCCTGTTGCACCTCTCGATCCACCCGATAGTCATCATCAGAGTCTTTCCTATAGTTCTTCCTGGCTTTAGCCATGCCGTGATGATGCTTCTTAGCATGGCGAGGAACCGGGTGAGCTGGTTCGTCCAGGAAGTCGATATCTGAGACCTCGTCCTCCGAAAAGATTTATTGGCGTCTTGGTCGGAGCGACGAACAAACTGCTCGCCGAAGCTCGATGATCCGAATCCGTTGCCTGTCTCTTTGACGAGTGTTTCGCCAATGTCGCCTGGCTATCCCCGCTCTTGGCGCTCGAGTCCGAGTCTTCCTCTCTTACTCTTTTGCCCAAAAGAACTGGAGTTTCTTTTGTGATCGAGGAGGAAGAGCCTTTGTCTTCATTCGAGTGCAGGGAGGCTGCGTTACTCCCAATAGAGCTGGTGTTATACATCAACCCTTGCGACACATGTAGCGGGTCAATAACCCTCCCTAAGGAATTTACAGAGGGGGTTGAGCCACCTTCCAATCTAGGCAGTTGCGACAGGTGCTTGCGAGCAGGCGACTCTGCCTCTTTGTTTGCCGCTGTACCTGCCTCCATTCGAGCTCTGGATGTAGAGCGTGTTACCCGTCCGATAGGGGAGCGTTTTCTAGGCTCCTTTGTGTCTCCTTCTGTGTGTTCCAACGATGATGAGGACGAACGTCTCATTGTATTGGAATTCCGCCGTCTTTGTTCCTTAGGGGGAACTTCAGCTGTGTTGGGGTTGGCAGGTTTGGTGAACACCTGCGAGTCATCTCCAGTTTGGCTCTGGGAAGAGCTTTCTCCCTCCTGTTGCTGCTCTTTAGAGGAGTTATAGCATCCACAGGTATTAGAACAACCTGTGGTTGTAATTGTAATTGGTTCTGAAGAGCCAATTCCACACTACCACTCCGCGCACTTCCGCCCGCGCTGGGCCCATCCCCTCGGTACGGGGAATCATCACCTGTACTCCGCCCGCTTCTGCCCGGGCAAGGCTCACCATCGACATCAAGAGGGGTTTGGTTGTTTTTATTGTCAAATTCCATCTGAATCCCACGAGTATGGCCAGAAAACATAGTCCACCCGAATAGAGCTGCCTTGTCCGGGTAAGGCTAGGGTTATGAAGGTGGGGTTCGCCCGTTCCCTACCTCCAGAGGACGCGACGTGACTGGGAATGACCCCCAGCCACGAACCCCTCGGCCGCGTCAACCTTGGGCTGGACGATTTTTTATTGAGGTTTACTCCTCTTGGGATCACCCAATTAAGGGCAGCCCCCGCCCCGGCTCCACACTTGCAGAGTAACGGGGTCGGCCGGTAGTTGTCTAGAAACGACACCCATTGCTCACGACCACCGTGAGACAACAGGCCCACCGCCCTCACTGGCACGGCCGCTTCCCGGGATACCCAGGGCGCCCGTCCAATCCAAAACGCGCTGCCGCTTCTCGACTTACCATCGGGGCGCCAGCCCGGAGCCCACATCAAAAAAGACTGCCAGGGGACAGAACCCCCGACAAACACTCACGACAGCCCATGAAGGGCTAACACGGCCCCCCTCCGACGAGGGGGCCGAACCCACCACCTCCCTTCCCGTCAGCCGCTACCCGGAATAAGTCCAGGACGCCTGACGGGTACCTCTGTGTTACTCGTTGGCGCCACACGTGCAGGGTTTCTAAGGGCCAAAGCCTGCGGACGTGAGTAGCATGACCCCCACCTGATAGACACCTTTTTTTTTTTTTTTTTTTTTTTTTTTTTTGACGCTGAGAAATACATTCCGTATGTCCGCTCCCCCCATGCGCTGGGGGTCACGGGGTCTGTGGGACTCCTCCTGTGGTCCCGCCCCCCGAGTGGGGGCTAGACAAAATACACGAGTTTACCCACTAAAACTCAGCGATGTCCCTCTCATGGTGGGCGAGGCGCGGGATCGGCCCGGAGGCCATACACCGCGCAGTTCGCCCCCATTTCGGCCCGCCCTGAAAAGGGCAGGTCCCTCTCGGGTTGGAGGCACATCTCAGAGACACTCGAGACGTACCCCCCAGACAGGGCGGAGACGTGCAATGCCGGCTGGTGCGCGAACCAGCCAGCTGCCCCCGACTAGGGACCAGGGATGCGCAACTGTGCATCTCTGATCTCTTTCCCATCTATTGGAAGGACCCACACAGGCAGAGCCCTTATCGTGGATCCCTCCCCCCGTACGGTCGCGGCTACCACCGGAGTACGGCCCGATCACAGCCCTGAAAAGGGCGTTATCAGGCCTCATCAATCGGCTCCGCCGCCCCTCTCTGCGTGGCCCCGGAATGGTACCGCCCAGGCCGGACACCACACACACCAAAGCGGTGTGTATGGCGGCCGATCCGGGCACCCATACCGGGGCCGTAGAGGGAATCCCCTTACCTGCTAAACGCAGGTCGACTCCCCATGTACCTCTCACTAGCAGCGACACAGGCGCACCCGGCAGACGTAACCCTGCCAGGGAACCAGTCAGCTGCTAGCCGCTCCAGCTGTCCCCCCCCCCCCAGGAGAGACAGACACGCTAACGCGTGTCCATCACCCCAGGGAGGTCCTCAGCTGGTACCGCACGAGTACCACGGGGCACGGGAACCAACCGTGACCTCAGGACGGGGGTGGGCGCGCATAGCGACGCCTTCTACCCCCCGTCCTACGACTACGGAGAGTGCCGGCAAGGGCCGCCTCCTCACGGGCTCTCTCCGCCTCCTCCTTCTGCGACATCACGGTCTCGCAGAAGGAGGTGACCGCCTCCCAGGACCTGCGACTGCCCAACATAGACCGAACTACGTTGGGGAGGGACAGGTCCTGGCCCACCACGAGTGACATCGCGTATCGCTGGGAGGACCAAGCGCTGCACACCTCAAGGGTGTGCTGTGCGGTGTCCTCCGCAGCATCGCAATGGTGGCACTCGGGTGTTTCCTCGCGCCCTATTCGGCACAGATACTTACCGAAGCAACCGTGCCCGGTAAGCACCTGTACCAATCGGAAGGTGAGCTTTCCGTGCCGCCTGTCCTTCCACTCCGCAAGGAGAGGTTGGAGGGCGGCTAGGGTGCGGATGCCGGCGGGAGGATGCTCTATGTTTTGGGCCCATAGCCTCATGAGCTCCTCATTCGACTGGCGTCTAATCTGCGCCAGTTCCTCGGGGGCTAGGCGATCCCCGTTCTCTCTGGCCTCGACGCGTCCTCTGTACACGTCGGCGAGCACACGGGCCTCCAGCTCCCAGGGGGGCATGCCCGCAAGTGCACAGGCCGCGCCCCCCGAGACCGTGCGGTAGGCGTAGATCGTCCTAGAGGCGACTATGCGCTGGGGTCTTCTTAGCAGGGCCCTGTTGTGGGTGTTCAGGGAGTCAACCCAGACAGGCGCCCCATATAATGCCATGCTCCTAACAACACCTGCATAAAGGCGGCGGCAGGTGATGTTAGGGCCTCCGAGGTTTGGCAACAATCGACCCAAGGAGATGGCAGTTTTCTCCAGTTTGGTGACCATCTGGCTGAAGTGGTAGGTGAACTGCCATCTCCCATCCAGATGCAGGCCCAAATATTTGATGTGGGGTTTCAGTATGATCCCCACTCCATTGACCCTCAAATGAGCTCCAGCCGGCGGCCCTCTCCGTGGACCGTGGAACAAAATGGCGTCCGTTTTGTCCACGGCCACCTGCAGACCCAGCCTTTCAATGCGATGGATGATAAGTTCAGTCGCACCTTCTGCCAGACGCTTTGCGGATTGAAAGTCAGCTCCTCTCGCCGTGATGAGTGTATCGTCCGCGTAGCAGACAATCCCAACACAGGGAGGAAGGGACCCACGAATTGCCCAATCATATCCGATGTTCCACAGGAGCGGTCCAAGGACCGACCCCTGTGGAACACCGCACACCATTCTACGCAGCACCACCTGACCATCGTTACCAATGTAGGCAACCTCTCTATTGCGGAGATAGTCCTCCACGACTTTACTCAAGTAGCCCGGCACAGCATGATATACTAGGGCATCTATGATATACTGAAAGGGGAGGGAGTTGAATGCGTTCTTGATGTCAAGAGACACAGCAACAACTACCTCTCCCCTCCCATATGCCTTTTCACATTCCCTTTTGAGATCCAATATGGCGTCAACCGTGGATCTCTGCTTTCGAAAACCGTATTGACGGTCAGAGAGGTTGGGTCCTGTCGTCTCAAGATGCTGGACGATGCGGTCTGCGACTATACGTTCATATAGTTTGCAGACCTCGTCCAGCAGTACTACAGGTCGATATCCGGATGGGGAGTCGGCCGGCTTGTTGTCCTTTCTAAGAAGGACAAGTCTTCCCCTCTTCCAACACCTGGGAAACCTACCCTGTTCTAGACATGAGTCCATTAGGGCTCTGATGTGTGTTCCCAGGTTTTTCAGCGACAGACGGAGGGCCTTTCCAGGGACCCCATCCGGACCTGGAGCCTTTTTCTTGAGACGTAGTCTCTCGTCAGCGGCCTCTAACTCCCCGTCCGTGACCGGGGAGTAGTTCGATGTCTGTTCTTGATTCGGGACCACCGGGCGGTCGCGAGTGGAAAGAAGGGAGGAGACTTCCGGCTCTTCTGCAGGGAAAAGTGCAGATATTACTCTGTTCAGGAGTTCTGGATCCATTTGATCCGTGGAGGGTGGGTGTTGCTTAAGCCGATTCCTGATCAATTTATAAGGACGCCCCCACGGATCCCTATCCAGGTCGGACAGAAACTCCTTCCAGGCAGTCTCTTTAGCCCTACAGATTGAGTCACGAAGTAGACGCTTCGCATCCGCATAGGCTCTTTTAAGAGTGGCCTCCTCACCCAGATCCATCCCACTTCTGCGGTGATTTCGGAGAAGTCTCCTCCTCTTCTGCAAACAGTCACGTCGTAAGCCCTCCAACTCAGACGACCACCAATATACATTGTTCCTTTGTCGAGGGCCAGAGGATCTAGGCATCGATGCATCACAGACTTTTGTTAGGCATTCCCTAACTATGTCCGCCTGCTCATCGACGTCTGTTATTTCCGTAATGGAGTCCAGTACCCAGGCCTGGACTATCGCAGCTTCCTCGATCGAGCAAACATCAAGGCCTGCAACTGCCCAGCGTGGGAATTTGTATGGCTCAGTGCTAGCAGGCAACCGACTATTTCTCATAGGAGGAGAGACTTCATATCGTATATAGGTGTGATCAGAGAGAGTCTCATCCTCCTTGAGCACTCTCCAATTCCTGACCCTATCAGCTAGAGCAGGGGTCGCGAAGGTGAGGTCGACAATTGAGCCGACTGTCCTCCCTCTCCATCTCCTTACGCAGGTAAATTCGCGACCCCTGTTTAGCAAGACCAACCCCGAGGCCGTAGCCCATTCCAGGACAAGTTCTCCCTCATATGTATTTCTGGGGGACCCCCATGCCGTGTGCTTTGCATTAAAGTCCCCCAGAATTAGCATTTTGTTGGAAGCCAGTCTTCCAATTACTACGCCCAGCCTATCGATCCACTCCTCATACTCCGAAGTGGGTCTTGTAGGTGAAAAATAGACTCCAACGACAGTAATTCCCCCCCACAGAACTGCCACATACCCCGATCCCTTTTCCCTAAGTGTGAAGGGGGGGGTAAATGCAGCGGTGGTAGGGATTACTATCGCAACCGAACCATCTGTATCGGCGATCCATTTGTTCGAAGATGGGACTGAGTATGGTTCCGCGAACACTAATAGATCAGCCTTCACACTGGCAGCGCTCTGGAGTATTAAATCCTGAGCGCCTGCACAGTGGTTGGCGTTGCTTTGTAGGAAATTCACGGTCACTCTATCCATTAACGGTTGACTCGTGAATTCCCTCCATTGCCGTTACCGGCGCCGCCATTTGTCTCGATCTACCCTGGTTTGGAGTCGATACGGGTCGTGCCTTAGGGGGAGCACAACTTTTTCCACCCATAAAGTGGTTGTGTGGGCGATTGGAAGCCGCACACAGCGCACAATTAAGAGGAGCCGAGCAGGATGCCGCCATATGGCCCGGTTCACTACATCTGTAGCAAATCGAGCTTCGATCTGTATCGCTGGGACAGGTACGTCTTGTGTGGCCTATGCCCATACACCTATAGCATCTCATAGGTCTGGGTTCTAGGCTACGGACGCGAGCATTAGTCCAGCCGACTAAAAGCTTACCCTTTGTGGTCAGCGCTTTGATCGCTACGAGTGGGCAGCGAACTGTCGTCATAAAGAGGCCACCCGGGCCCGTCTTGAGCTCACCTACTTTTATTTGATTCGGTTTGCATCCTCCTTGTGAGGCCACCGCTTCCGCAATTTCCGTATCTATGACTGAGTCGTCAAGATCCAGGATGCGAATCTCCCCACATTTTACTGACCTTGTCACCTTTGCTAAACCCTCTAGTACTGTGGAGAGTTGGGAGGTGAACGCTTCAACTTTTTCCTCTTCTAGCCCCTTTGGAACCTCATATTTACGTGCTCCCGTCGCCGTCTTGGACAACTTTAAGCCCATGGGGTCAATGCCTATGCTGGGAAGGTTTATTTCCTTCCTAGCCTTTGCAATTAACTTGCCATAGGTAATGCCAGCCTCTTCATCCTCTTCAGTGATGTCTATTACCACTGCATCCGTCTTTGGAAGTCGCATTTTGCGTTTCTTCTTCCTTGAGTTTTGGTTTGTTTTGTTTGGAGGGGCGGGTTTTGAAGAGACGGTCGGAGCAGACGTCTTCTTTTTACCTCCCTTCTTAACTACCATTGACCAAGAGCGCTCTTCTGTTACTTCCTCTGTCTCTCGAACAGGAGGATCTGTGATTTTGGGGGAAGCGTTCAGAGGAGCGAGTGTTGGTGGGGGTGCAGGTTTGTTAGTTTTACGTTTACCCTTTCCTCTACCTTTTTTGTTGTTTGATGGGGCCTGTTGTTGTTGTTTAATGGGCCCTACCCTCTCTTGTCCAGTCGATGAAGGTCCAGTTCTAGGCATTGGGCCTTTTTTATTACCATCAGTCAGAACGGCTTTCTTCGGTGCTGTGCTTCCCATCTGTTTCGAGCCATTACCTGAAGATCCTGCCTGGGAGGGCTTCGATGGTAGCTGAGAATCCGCATTCCTAGTATCTGAGGAGAGGGGAGGGCGTCTCGTTTGAGGTAGTAACAGCCGCTCTTCAATGCCCTCAAACCTCGCGTTCATGTAAACCGCTATCGTTTCAATCACCGCATTTTTAATCTCATCAACGACCGAGGCTCTGAGTGAGCTATCATCCACTTCCATGTCATTCTCCCGAGTGATCTCCTGAGCGATCGTCTGAGGGGCTTTCTTTTGACCGCGTTTCGGGATATTGATAGTGTTAGGGTTAGGATTGACCGCTTTCTTTGCCATATCTCTCTTTATGGCCTTAAGTTCATTAGAGAGATGTTCCAGCTCCGATTTCATCCTCTTATTGTCCGCCCGAAGCCTTCGTATCTCATCATCCGCCGTTGTAGTCAAGGTCTTGTTGATGAGATTTTCAAGGTTGCTCGTCGCCTGATTAACCTCTTTGATCATGGTTCCTTTCAGGTTTTTTGATTTCGCACAAACCAGCTTTACCCTCTTGATCTGTTCGATTGCCCTAGCATTGATCTCTGTGATGGAAAGATCCGTGTCTACTACCAGGGAGAGATCCGGTAGAGAGGAGAAGCACGGATCTCTGTGGACTTCGTATTCATCATCCGAGTTATTGTTTTGTCTCCTTCTGAATAGGGACATTCCGACATGACGGCCGCTATCCTTAACAGACGCCTTAGGGGTAGCAGCCTTCTTTTTGGGGGGACGGCGCTGAGAAGAAGAGGAAGTAATGGAAGGTGGTCCCATCACTTGTCTCTCAGGTTCGTCATCTGTCCTCATTAAGCTCTGCTCATTCGTGAGTGTGCAGATACTATTGTCACTATCAGTACTTTCTGTTTCCGAGTGTGCCCTCTTTTTATCGTTCCTGCCGACCTTTGTTGAAGGAGGCCCTTTTGGGGTGGAGCAGGAATTCTCCTAGTCAGCCATATTTATGACCTCATCTATCCTTTTATCAGACTGTGTGAATGTTGGTGTAGCAGTCTGTTCTGTCCTTGTCACAGACCTAGTCTTAGGTCTTGAATGGGGAGAGCGATCCCTGGTCTCTCTGTCCCCTGTATCGTCCTCATCGATAACTAGACTAGGAGAGTCAGTACGAAGACTCCTGTCTCTGCTCTTGTCTAGGTTGTCATTACGGGAAAGACGGTCCGTGTCTATCGAGCCTGCTGAACCAATCGGTACGCGTGCTGGACCGCTTTTCGATGTCGCAAGTACTGAGGAAGGGTTTCTCCCTCTGCTTATGCTTCTACCCATTCTTTGACCCTTAGGAGGGTCTTTGCAACTGCTGAGAGCAGAACTCTGGGACGAGCCCACCCCAGCTAGGTCCTGAGAAGGACCTGTATCCAAACACCGCGCGCTTCCGCCCGCGCTGGGCCCATCTCCTCTGTTCGGAGACTCCATAACGGCATCACCACGCTCACTTCCGGTCGAGCTAGACCTCCCCAAAACGACAGAACAAGGTTTAATTATTTTATTTAAATTCTCCATATTCGTCCCACGAGTAAAACGGTATCGACTGACCACCAAGACAGAGCCGAATATCTTGGCTAGGCTAAGGTTGTGAAGGTGGGGGGCGCCTGTTCCCCACCTCCAGAGGACGCGTCGCGACTGGGAAAAGCCCCCAGCCACAAACCCCTCGGCCGCGTCTACCTTGGGCTAGCTGTTTTTTATTGAGGTTGTCTCCTCTTGGGGTCACCCAATTAAGGGCAGCCCCCGCCCCGGCTCCGCGCTTGCAGAGTAACGGGGTCGGCCGGTGGTTGCTGATCGAAACAGCACCCGACGCTCACGCCACCGTGACACGCCAGGCCCACCGCCCTCTTGCTGGCACGGCCGCTACCCGGGATACCCAGGACGCCCGCCCAGCCCGAACCGCGCCGCCGCTTCCCGACTTACCGTCAGGGCGCCGGCACGGAGCCCACACGCGAGACTTCTCGCGAGGCGGAGACAGAACTCCACCGCCCTCCTGTCGTCTGACATCAGCCGTGGCGGCTCAAAGATGCTTTGAGCGGCCACGTTGCCCGGGGTGCACCACGAGGAGGTTGCCAGACATCGCACCCCCCTGATAGACACCTAAACGAATCTTCCACCTTCGAAAGTACAAGAGATGATACTGGAAGTGTGGATTTGTAGGGCTGGTCAAGTGACCTAACTGATTGGGACGAATCCCAGCTCAATCTCTTGCAGTCATCATGGCGCTCATCTACGCGCAAAACATATAGGGCAGCCTGGCTTAGGTGGCTTAAATGGAATAAGCTACATAAGTTTAATGCTTTTAAACGTAATGGTTCAGTAGTAGCAAGGTTTTTAGCTGATTTATACCTTAAAGAATTATTCTCTTATAACACAGTATTGTTACATAAGTCTGTGATATCCACGTTGCGTAATACAGAACTATTAGGTTCCCATAGTTCTCACGTGTTTATTCGACACGTTATTAAGTCAATTTCTTTAAAAAACCCCGTAACACACAAAACGTCTGTTTGGGATGTTCATACTATTGTGTCTTTTTTAAAACATTATATTTTGACAAAGTAAGCAAATTCTTAGTCAAACACACTGCATTATTACTTTGTTTAGGTCGTAGAGTTCATGAACTTACTTTATTAGCAGTAGATTTAACCATTTTAAGAGAAATGACAACAACATTATTTTATGGCCTAGGTTTGGATCTAAATCTGATAATTCTAACTGCAGGCAATCAAAGGCAGGGATTGGAAAATAATGACAGATACAAGCAATAAAAATCTCGATCCCGTTTATTGGGTAAATAAATGGGATCGAGATTTGGGACGAACGTTTCGAACGTCTTTGCGAAACTTGATAGTGCGGCAATTTCAGTGAAAATAAAATATATATTAATTGCTATTCACACAGTAAAAGCGTTCATTTAGTTTGTGAAGTGACAGTGAGGCTTTGTTACAGTGGGCTTAACGTTTCGCACTTGAGTTACGCTATATTACAGAATATTAATCAGCTGATTTCCAGTACATTTTTTGTATGGAGGGTGATTTAAAAATTTTGAAACTCAAACTTCCCCTCAATTTTCTTTTATAAAATACACGCCTGCCATCTGTTCAAATAGCATTCCGGCGAGGACGGACTCTTGCTGTTGGTCTCACAGCGCCATCTGTGAACGTAAGGCGAAACTATTTACCTAGACACCTAAAAGAACCATCACGATGCCACAGTGCGCAGCCTGTGGTAAATTTTTATCACCTGCGAATGCCGCTGGTTGTGGTACATGTCTATTAAAATTCCATAAGGCTTGCCTGGGAATACCAGAAAAATCACAAATCGGCAAGAACTGGGTTTGTCTGGCATGCAAACGGAACTTGCGGAAGGGTGATAATAGCGAGACGCCGGTGAAGGGGCTCTGCGACGAACGGACCGCCGAAGCACCGGCCCATGACGGTGTGACGCTCGACGCACCTCCCGGCGTCGTTGTTGAGACGGATCCGGATTCGGAAGCGGCAGCCTGCACCCCCTCTGATGTCAAGGGCTTGTTGGAGTTTCGTCAGTTGTTTACAGAATGTATGTCGGAGATGCGGGAGTTCAGGAAGGAATTGATGTCACTCCATTCATCCTTCAAGGCAGTGACAGAGCGACAGGATCTGATGGACAGAAGGCTGGACGGCATGGCGCTGAAGCTGGAGGAACTCGAGGGTCGTCTCGCTGCTGGGGCGCCGTCGCGGGTGGTGGAGCTGGAGCGTGTAGTATCGGAACTCAGGGGCGAGCTCAACATGCGGGATCAGGATGCTCTACTGGCGGATCTGGACGTCGGATCGGTTCCGGAGGAGAAGGGTGAAAATGTGACGCACACCGTGACTGCTCTGGCTTTGCGTCTCGGTATAACCCTGGAAGAGCGCGACGTGGTATTCGCCGAGCGCGTGGGTGCCCCTCCGGCTGCCGGTGGTTGCGCACGCCGGATCGTGGTGCGGTTGTCCCGCCGTGGTCTGCGTGATGAGGTGCTGCGTGCCGCCCGGACTCGTCGTAACCTTGAGGCTTCAAATGGAACACGCATATATATCAACGAGCGGTTGACTCGCCATAATCGCCAGCTGTTTCTCCGGGTCCGCGAGGGGTGCCGTCAACGGAACTGGCGCTACTGCTGGACCAGGCACGGCTGCATTTTTGCTCGACAGAGTGATGGACAGAGGGTATTGCGATTTCGCTCGGATGCTGATCTCGAACGAATATTTAATATTCCTCAGAGGAGTTCCCCGGGACCAAAGCTGCCGGATGGTCATGATGGTCAGTCATTGCCAGCCTATTCTGGTGCTGGCACTACTGATGACCGTCCGATGTGAGGGACTGGTCTCGCCGTATCCTGCAAAATATACATTTATTATATATGTGACAGATGTGTTATATATGTCATATGGTAATAGAAAAGAAAATGTTATATTTACCTTGTTCTGTTTACACATATTACTACATTGTTGTCTTTTCCTTTTTTATAAGTTTTACTCATTTTTGTCAATGTGCTAGTTGCTTTGTTGTATTTCTATTATTTTACTGTGTGGGGCCCAGGTATGTTACAAGTCTCAAAGCTTTGTTTGTATTCGTCATCTAGAATGATTTTATGACCTTTCTTTAAACAAACAGTTAACGGTCTAGTTATTTTTGCAAAGTCTTTAATAAATTTACGATAATATCCTATTAATCCGAGAAAACTTTTAATTTGGGTAACGGTTTTGGGTAAAGGGTAGTTTAATACTGCGTCTATTTTATCGTTATTAGGTTTTAATCCTTCGCTAGTAATTGTGTGACCCAGATATAAAACTTCTTTTCTTAAAAAGTGTGATTTGTCTAGCTGAATTTTTAAATTAGTTTGTCTAAATCTATCGAAAACGGCTCGTAGTTTTTGTGTATGTTCTTGTAGGCTTTTTGAGAAAATGATGACGTCATCTAAATATACTAGGCAGTGGATACCTTGCAGTCCTCTCAGCACGTTATCCATTGCTCGCTGAAAAGTAGCAGGGGCTGTTTTCAAACCAAACGGCATTCTGTTGAATTCGTTATGTCCGAAGGGTGTGCTAAACGCTGTTTTTGATCTATCAGACTCTTTGACTTCAAGTTGATGGTACCCACTCACAAGATCTAGCGTAGTAAAGTATGTACTTTTCCCTAACATGTCAAATAAATCAATAATATTAGGAAGTGGATACTTATCGTCTGCTGTTATTTCATTTAACCGCCTATAGTCGACTACCATTCTCCACTTTTGTTTATCAGTTGCATCTACTTTTTTTGGTACTAAATGAACTGGTGCACTCCAGGAAGAAAAGGATTCCTGAATAACGTTATCTTTTAACATTTTCTCAACCTGGTTTTTTATTTCCATGGTTTGAGAAGGTGGTAGCCTATGTGCTCTAATATATATTGGGTCTTCGTTAGTTGTGTGGATTTCATGCTTTACTTGGTTTGTAAGGGATAATGGTATGTCTTCGCAATAAAAAATATCTTTATATTCCTGACAAATATCACTTATTACTTTCTTTTCTTCTTCGTTCATGTGATCTAATTTTAATTTGGAAAGGTTTCGTCTTAATAGTGTATCTATTTGGCTGTTATCTGTGGTATAATTGACGTTAATTTGGTCTCTATAGTTATAACTTTGTACAAGAAAAGGAGAAGTTATTGTTAAAGAAATATGTTCTGATGTATAATTTTAAATGACTGTGGTAGCAAAGCCTTTTCTACAGTTAATTAATGCGGCTAACTAACTCCTTCTGTGAATTGAGTGTATTCTAGAATACCATCGCCATCTAATAAATTTACGGGAAGTTTAACGCGTAACTCACTACGTGGTGGTATTTCGTAAATGTGTCTCATAGGTGGCGAATAAATAATAGGAATGTTCGCGTTTCTTGTATGTAAAATTTGTGACTTCATATCAATATTTGCATCCAATTGTTTTAATAGATCGCTACCTATTAAGCCGTCATATCTACTGTCTACGCTATATACATAAAACTTATGTATATCCTTGGTACCGAATATTTTAGGTAAAGTTATATTTACGACCTCACTATGTTTACTCGATGCATGTGTACTCACGACTTCAAATGGTTCGTGGCTTTTAAACTGGCGATAAAATTCGTTAGCTTTCTCTGGACTAATAAACGATCGTGTACTACCGGTATCTAACATAAATATAGCTCTAATTTCTGGTACTCGTATGTGTGGCAAATTTAATATTTTATTATAATTTAATGTTATTCTTTCTCTGTTCGAAAGGCCATTGTAAAAAAAATTCCCACGGTTTCGTGTTCGTTCGATTGTTCCGCGACTAAATCGTTATTAAAATCATTTGGACTTTGTTCGCCGTGGTCTGTATAATTTACTCGTCTAGTGCTAGCCGTTCGCATTGTTACGTCAGTATTGCTACCTGAACCAACATATGGTGAATTACTCATATTGCGCGGTGCATTGTCCCTGAAATGCTGATTTTGCAGAGGCGTTGACCGCGACGGTTGTTGCCACTGATTATTATGTAAACTATTTATTGATCTAAATGTACTTCGCGATTGTATAGAACTATTCGGTGTATTATAATTAGAATTGCTGTTTGTATTAGGAAAACTATTTGGAATCGATCGTGAATTATTATAATTGTTTGATGTATTATAACTCTGATTATTATTATACTGAGATCTATTCTGGAATGACATTTTATTTGGACGCGTATTAAAACGTGGGTTTCTAAAATCCCTGTTTCTATTTTTGTGATCGTAAACCGTTTGGAAATTTTCCTCCTCTAAAACAATTTTCAAAGCATCCTCTAATGTAAGCCCATTTTTTATTCTAACTAATCGTACCAAAAAGGGTGGTAAATTATATAAAAATACGTTTAATGACGAATGATTGTAAATATCCTTAGCCCTTCGTAAACTAATATCTTGAATTGTCTCGTTAACTTTCGCTATTAACATGCTTCTAATATTTTGTATTTTATGACAAAATTCTAAATAATTTTCTCCCCTTGAAATTTTAAGACCTTCCAATTCAGACACTCTTCAGAACGTGGATCTCCGAAATGTTGGTCAAGAAGAGTTTTCATCTCATTCCATGATGTTATATTGTCCCGTTCCCCAACTAAACTCGCGGCTGGTCCGGTTATCCTACTAGTTATGACGTGGAATAAATATTCATTTTGTCTATCATCACCCCTAAACATATCCAGAATGTATTGGTATTTCTTTATAAACAAAGGTAATTGTCTAGCATCTCCGTTAAATAAGGGAATAATGTTTATCATTTCGGTTGGTACGCGGTTTATATTTTCCATTTTTGAAAAGAAAATCAATACACACGCAAAAAAATAAAAAATAATAAAAAACATCAGAAATAGAAAAACATAAAGTAAGTAAACAATAATAAAAATTAAAATAAATCAATTTAGTGATTAGTTAAATTGACCTATTTTTGTATATTTTAAGTTGAATCTGATTTAATTATATGGAAATGTTATCCTCGCGTTATTAAAGCGTTTTCCAATCTTAAATAACACATATAATATAATAATTGATAAAGGAATACGAAAGGAAAGTGAAAAGTTTTACTCACAGACCTGCAGCTACTCCCATCATATGGAATATTAGGCGTAACGTTACACTGATCCCGGTATCAAAATCTTGATAAATTTATTTGTTCGGTGATCCCAGTCAAACCGTTGAAACGGACGTTGGTATATAAAATTATTGACTTTTACTATAGGTGAACCAACGACTGGGATCCTACCGGCTGCGCCAATTAAGTAGTCGACACCGGTTTTAATAAAAAATATAATTTATTTTATTAAATGAACAGAGTAACAACTAACTAATAATCAATGTATTTACCTTATCCACTAGTATTTATATAATAATAAATGCTTACATCTAAATATTTATTGAGAGCAGCTACTGCTGCTGACGAAGGTTATTGATGTGGGGTTAGCCACCTTAACACGCTCGCCGCCACCACAGCGCCGTCCGCCCCGACGAACATAGATAAAGAGGTACTTGCAGGTCGCCTTTCTCAATTTTATGATTATTGGGCAGATATTACTGACAATCATACATTATTGTCGTGGATTCAAGGGTACAAAATAACTTTTATAAACAAACCTACACGACGTGACTGTCCTGATACTTTACCAAAATCTGCTGCTGAGAAGGTGCATTTCGAAAAAGCAATTAATGCTTTACTTCGAATTGGAGCTATCTCAGTGTGTAATCATGAGAAAGAAGAGTTCGTATCTAGCGTTTTCCTAATTCAGAAGCCGAATGGCGATCATAGATTCATTTTAAATTTGAAATGTTTAAATAAATTTGTATGTACGTCACATTTTAAAATGGAGGATTATAGAACGGCAAAAAATTTTTTACAAAAAATTGCTATATGGCAAAAATAGATTTAATGGATGCATATTTTTCTATTCCAATTTATAAAGACCATAGAAAGTATTTAAAATTCAAATTTAATCATATTTTATATCAGTTTAATTGCCTACCATTTGGACTTTCTTCGGCTCCTTTTGTATTCACCAAAATACTCAAACTAGTAATGGAATTCTTACGTTCAACAAAATATACTATTTCAGTAATTTATTTAGATGATATTCTTTGCCTAGGCAAAAATTACTCAGAATGTCAAAATAATATCTTTTTACTAAAGAATTACTACAAAAACTAGGTTTTGTAATAAATCATGAGAAAAGTCAAATGATACCCAGTAATGAACTTTTTAGGATTTATATTCGATTCTAAAAATATGATTTTGAAATTACCTGAAGCAAAAAAAGATAAAATAAAAGTTATTTTGCATAAATTTAAAAACTTGCAAATTGCGAGAATTTGCTAAGTTAATTGGTATTTTATCATCTGCTTGTCCCGCTATAGAGTACTCCAGGCTATACATAAAGCAATTTGAAAGACACAAATACTTGAATTTATTGCAAGATGATTCCTATGAACAAATTATTCGTCTACCATATTCTTTAAGGGAAGATTACAAATGGTGGCTTAATAATATAGATAAAGGATATCAACCATTGAGATTTAATGATTTCAGACTAGAAATTTTCTCAGACGCTTCTATTACTGGTTGGGGTGCTTTCTGTGCCGGTGAAAGAGCTTATGGTCACTGGCAAGAAAATGAAAAACAAAATCATATTAATGTATTAGAATTGAAAGCGGCCTTTTATGCCCTAAAAATGTTCACTAAAAACCTGTACGATTGTGAAATATTACTTCGTATTGATAATGTTACTGCAATATCCTGCATTAATAAAATGGAAAGCATAAGATACCCTCATTTGAAT